GGGACCGCCGTGTCCCGACCCGTCGCCGTCTGCCCGCCTCTCCGGACGGACCGACACTGGAAAACGTCGGCGCCGACGGACGCCAAGCGTCGAAACCGACGGTCGGCGACGCGGCGCGGACAAAAAATCGATCAGTCTCTCTCGCTCTCATGTTAATCGCGCCCGAGGTTAATGCAGCCGGTGGTGGTAGGAGAGGAGGTTGCGGGGAGGGAGGAAGCATCTACCATGGGATTTGCACCATGCGTGACGTGACACAGAGATGAGAGTGTCACGGACTAGTCGTAAGGCGAGTAGTCTATGACAAGCACTGAAACAGCAGGCGGTGGAGGTGTGGGCGAAGTGGTTGGACGATTTAACTGGACTATAGAATGCGAACAAAATGTGCTCCTGTGCCAATCGTGGTTTTCAAAACTGAGTCGGACCAGAGGTGATAAATGAATTAACACGTAGGTAGCCTTGAAATTCGACGCACATATTTTTATCCAGTTTGCTACGATGCTCCTTTGGTCTTGACGTTCATTTGAGAGTGAGCTGGAGGAGTTGTGAGGAATTTCCAAGTGTATTTCACGCTCATGCTGCAATAACGAACACAAATGTACCAGAAACGCATCACTAGCCGACGAATGAAACACCGGGTGAATCCAACAGGAACGAGAGCGAAAATGAAGGGGAAAGGGAACAGCGACATATTTGAGTGAGACGCTTATGTAAAACCAGCATTCTGAAAACTGCTACCTTTTTGCAATATCCTTCCGGTTGACTTAATTTATGTGCCTGGGGTTTCAGCCGACACCCAACTCGTTTGAGATAAATGATTACCCCCGGAGAAAGATAAATGGTTTGTGGGTACAAGACCAAATGATATCAACTCGGAAGACGGGATATGGCGAAAATGTAAGAAAGCATTTTGCTATACGAGTATACTTCTATGAATTGCGATTCGGGCCCTGTACGTGCCATTGCATTGAAACACTTTATCATAACTGCAGCGTTTAAAGCCTTACAATTGCATTACTTCACATCCCGTCTGCGTGGCAGCGTCTGAAGACAACGAAATTATTCACTGTCGGATCGCTCATTTTGAGATGCGCCCGCATGAATATTCTCCCGATCTAAAAATGCGCGCCGTTCCATTTTTCACGCTCCGACAAACTCTGTTTCCCTAACACTGGATGTCATTTCCGGCGAGTGGTGCGCCGTTTTGTGATTCTAATGGGGTTCATTGTTCTGGCCATGGAAGTTTCGTTCCCCGGGGCCGGTTTGGGATGTCTGTGGGCACGTTTTGACCATATCATTGGTCATCTGGAGCGGCGAATGTGCGCGCCACACGCATATCTTTCCGAGATGAGCGGACGTCTGTCGGATTTGTGCGAAAGTTATTGAAATGAGACACGCCGCTTTAGAAGGTCTTCGACATGAACAGAGCTGCAGGAACGCACTTTATAGATAAAAGAGAACATTTCGATACAATGCTTCTTCATTTCAATATGAAATCCTAATGTAAAACTAACTCTCCTCAATAACGCATTTAAAATCGATGCTTACTTATTTCATGCTGTCATGGGTGACATTGCTGGCATCGCGAATGGCAAAAAGCCTCACCTGAATAAAACAAAACATTGATTAGGATGTTGCAATAACCAACAAAATCAGCATTCAACTAAGGCAGTGAGATCATTTAACTTAATGGATTTAGAAAACTTAAGCAACCAACCGAATAATCGAAACTGACTAGATAAAGCTGGCCCTATTCTAAAACAATGGCATTAGCTAAAATCCCCGCATTTCCATCTTTCCAGACGTTTTTCATTACCCATTTATTCGCCAACACAAACATGGTGTAACAGCATCAACAAAGTTGCAATTTCATTCGCCCAATTCGCTTAAATCACTGGAAGCCTCAGCCTGGGGTGGGAAATCCTCGCATTCTCGGGGCTGAGGCTTTCTGCTTTTCGGAATCGTTCTGCGCCGTGAGACATGTTTTCTGAGGGTAACGCCCGTTACCACGGCGGGCGACAATATTTGGGAAATCTATGCAAATGAGACTGGCGGGGCAAGACGCCGAAATGGCCCATAATTCAAGCCTGAATGCAAACAAACTCTAATAACTGCGTCGAAAGTGTCTCCGCACCCGATAGTCAGCGGAAAACGGCGAAATAGACGTGGAAACGGCGGCGCAATCTTTGGAAAATGACGCAGATATGCGCCAGAAATGTGCGTAGGAGCCGCTCTCGACTCAAACTGGTTAATGTCGCTCCAGCTACTCTAATCGGTAATCTAATCGGTAATCCAGCTACTCCAGCATCGGTAACCGTGCCTGGCGAGAGGATGTGCACTCGATGGGATCAAATGAATACGACAAACGCTCAAGTTACGATAAAGATGTTGTGTGTCATATGCCATAATTTAAGCGATGACAACATAAAACCACAGAAAAACTCCAGACAAATGCATCAAACAACACGCCTACATTTTTCCTCACCATACAGAATAGTCGCTCCCGAACAAATAATTTTGACGAGGCCTGTAGCTCGACACGCCTCGAATATCTGACGCTGCGGCGGCGGAAACTTTCTCTCCCCACCACTCTCCGTGGATTGCTGGCGGCCCGTTTTCTCGTCACCACCCCTGTCATTCGGACCCTCTGTCAATTTCCCGTTTCTGCCGTTAACAGTGCCCCTCTCCTGCACCACACCCACCTATCGGAGTATCGCCAGGCTGGGAGAGCTCTCCCTCCACCGGTAGTTTGGCGACTGTCTCCCCTCGTGCAGAATGCAGAGGTGGAATTAATCCGCCAATTGACATTTTATGGCTCAGAAACGGAGCGCAGTCACATTGGGGAGGGGAGGAGTTGGACTGACGAGAGGAAGGAAGACTGCATGAGGATTGCTATCGGATTTATAGGGTGTCTGAGTCATAATTCTCAAATAAATTTAAGCTTTTCTATTGCGAGTTGAAATAGAACGCCAAAAATGTAGGAGCCGTTTACTGTCGTAAGGTAACTGACGAATGTCAATGGTGAATATATTGGCCACTTTAAATGAGATTTGAGCGCCGGTCGCTGGCTAAGCACGCAAAAAGTTGTCGTAATTTGATGATAACGCAATTTGATGATACCAATTGTGAATGTGTCAATTGAGCGGGCGTCACTTCTTGCACCTGAGCGGATTGCAAAGAACTATGGCACAATATACTCATTACACAGACAATACGGATGAAATTTTCAGTCCCTTCAGACGATATTTGATCCATGGAAAGGCAGAGGCCAACTGAGTTCGACCTTCCGGGTCATCCATGGATGCCATGTGTAGGCCAGTCTGGCGGTGCGCCCGGTGCGCCAAACTGATCCGGCCCTATGAGGCTGAATCTCAGCACTGTCTCCACACGATCTACAGAGGATGGGAGCAGCTCACCACTCTACCCACCGGGGAACATCCCGTCCAGCAGGCCCTAGGGGCCATTTCACGGCAGAACTGCCCAGAAAAGCACCCTTACGGAAATCGGTCTCCACGACACACGCTCCTCGGCAGTAAAGGGGAGTGTCCGAACGAGGGTAGAGCGAAGAGAGGAGAGAGTGGGGAGGCGTCGGAAACGACAGAATGCGTGTGAGTGGGGAGGGGAGGGAGGGAGGGATGGAGGGAGATGACTCATGGAGACGGAGTGCTATCTCCGAGAATGCGCTGATAAAAGCGCGACAGACAAGATGGACAATCATCGTAATGGAAAAAGAGACGTAAAACTTGGGTGTGGGGGTTGTAGTTTTGGAAGGAATAGCAACACTACATGGCGCTGTACTACACTGGCTGCACTACACTATAGTGTTTTGTAAAATTAGTAATGATATTGATCAACAACAAACGGTTTGTCCTTCAGAGTGCTGTGGTTTTTGAACGGATGAAAAGCATGCACGCTTCTCATATTTTATGTGCAGTGTGCACCACAGCGATTCATTTCAGAGCATTGCATAACGCATGACAATGGACTGCAAATACGAAAGGAGAAGTAGTTAGGTCATAGGTGTACATACAATGCAAGGATACGTCACTGCAAGTCAGGGCAATCGGCATCGCTTTTTCGGGACAGCATATGGCAGAGAACACCGAGCCTTAGTATTTACATCTTATCTTATCTTCGATGCTTCCAGAAGGCAGCGTGCTTTAAATCGCTTCCACTAGGCACTTCAGTTGGATCGACGCATTGCAAGGTCTGGACTCTCCAGCCTCCTTGACTCCAGGCGCTGTCGCCCCGACGCGTGGCCACAGCTGCCACAGCGATGCCAGCGTCATCTACGTCAGCTGAGAGAAGACTTGGGGATTCCATACTACAGATGGCAGCACATACCACGCAAAGCTCAGAAGGACCCAGCGGAGCATCATGCTCTCAGCTAGTGAATAGTCGAATCCGTCGAGAAGTATCAAACGTGTGCATCTTCACGCAGCGGGAGTCATTAAGCTTACATCATACCGTGATGCCTTTTCAAATTTAACTACATCAACCACACCACCATAACCTTCCCCAAAAGTACCGCACGGACACGGTCATGTCATGACCAAGGCCCTGAGTGAGAGTGATCTACACACAGAAAAATATTAACACCGTTAGCGGTGTAATTGCACAGTACATATCTGAGCACTTAAGGAAAGTTAATTTAGTCCCTTCCCCGCTTAAATTACTCGCGCTTCCAAATGAACACCAGGAAGAAGGTAATAGAACACTGTTAGGAGGGTTGGGTGTTTTGCTACATGTAGTAAAACACCCAACCCTCCTAACAGTGTTCTATTACCTTCTTCCTGGTGTTCATTTGGAAGCGCGAGTAATTTAAGCGGGGAAAGGACTAAATTAACTTTCCTCAAGTGCTCAGATATGTACTGTGCAATTACACCGCTAAGGGTGTCAATATTTTTCTGTGTGTACGCGAGCCATGCTTCCACGACCCCTATAGGTACTACCGTGAAAACCTAACAATGACAAACAATCCATTTCACAGTGCGGTGACTGACCTTTGACGATCGGCTGAGTGACCTCCGGCGAGGTCAGGCCAGCGATGACGTCATCCGATGAGGTCACCGAGTCGGGCGGAGGCGATGTCTCGATGCCGCTCTGAAAAACACAGACGGCACGTGTCAAATGATGAATGGCGACAGCACAACCGGTACCAACGAGATATAGAGCAAAAGATGACAGGATAAAGCAGTAATTTGTGTGCGTAGGTATAGGTAGTATGGCTGAGTAATTCTGTCGTCTGTAGACTAAAAAAAAAAAAATCAAAAGCTCACGTTTCCACATTCGCGTGTGGGACGTAGGGCATTACAATTATAACCGGAAGGTTCTATTCTAGTGCTATTCTAAACGTCGAAGAAGAGATGGACGAACTAAAAAAGGCTGCAGCTGTTCTAGGACCTGCCAATGCTTTTCGTCTTGATGCCGACAGTGCACGTGTAAACATCGCAGAACTGTTCCACTACAAGTGTCCTGCTGTCTAAACCGCTTTAGTTCAATGTGAATGCTTTGACATTGGAGACACAATGTAGGCGAATGTTTAAAACTGCGACTTTTGCGACAACCGTTTGAAAGTACCTGTCCTTGAATATGTGTCACTTTCGCGGGCCATCCAACGGTTGACAACGTACCATTGCTCTTCCTATATGCATGCCGCCCTGTGATCAGATTGCGTTCGAGTGAAATGAAATACGCGACGAAATGCGATTACATCGCCGAGGAATTTCAATGTGACACCGAAGACAGCGTTTTGACAACAGCCACCAGGGTAATAACCTCACAGGGGTACGGTTGGGTGGTAAAATGTCCGACAGTGAGCTGTGAATGTGCCTCCGATAGTGATAATTTTTATGACTGGATAGGTGTTACGGATGTGCATACTTGTAGAAATTTCAAATGGCTGCAGGAGCAAGTACAAACTGAAAGTTATTGATAACAGGCCAAACCAGCATTGCTTTTAACAAGTAACTTTACGATTAAACTTATACATTAGTCATGTCTGATGTCTGTTTATGTTAGCTGTCTACATGTCTGACATATGCAATCAGTTGCGTCAAATGTTCATCTTTCAGCCGCGTTGTAATGTTTTGGTGCACTACTATCGGTCATTCTAACATGAACTCAGATAGTCATATATGTAATATGAATGCATGGACGCATGTCATTGAACATCTCATATAAATGCGGGTGTAGTTGTCCATTCATGGAAAGAACATACACGTATATGATGTGTATGATAAACACCAAGCATCCGATAAAAACGTCATTTCTCGCATGAATCATTTATTTCCCGTAACCTTTCCCAGCATTAACGATTAGAAGTAGAACCATAATCCTGTTACCAACTAAGCTGAAATAAATATCAGTATAGGTACTACTTCTCAGGCATAGTGAACACAAAACGCGAAGTGTCAATCGATTCCTCTTTCATTTTCTCACACATTTTATCATCAACTCCACCTTTCTCTCTCTCTCGCTCTCGCTCTCGCTCTCGCTCTCTCTCTCTCTCTCTCTCTCTCTCTCTCTCTCTCTCTCTCTCTCTCTCTCTCTCTCTCTCTCGCTCTCCGTCTCCCTCTCTCTCTCTCTCTCTCTCTTCCCCTCTTCCCATATTCCAGCTTCCGTCGTCTGTTCCATTCCCCGCTGTCCCAGGTCAAGGAACCACTTCCCCTGATCAGCCGCGTACCGAGAACAAATAAACAGCACAGAGACGCACACCTGTCTCTACCCAGCACCGCAGAGAAACTCCTCTCCTCTCTCTCTCTCTCTCTCTCTCTCTCTCTCTCTCTCTCTCTCTCTCTCTCTCTCTCTCTCTCTCTCTCTTCCTCCCTCCCTCCCTCCCATTTTTCTCCACCTGCTCACGTGCGCCGCCATGCACCACTCGTCCAACTGTTTATGCCGCGACTCGCCGCCGAAACTCGAGAGCACCACTGCTGGGTGAGCGTTACCGACCTACCGGGTCGGCCCGGTAGGTCGGCCCCGTCTGACAATAAACCGACCGGTCTCTGAGGGACTGGGGTGATACTTCCGGGGGAGGTGAGACTCGGCGGCAGGAAGGACGGAATGAGGTGGGAAAAAGGGGATGGGCTGACGTTTTTCATATGATTCGGGAATACCTATACGTTTCTCAGACAGAGGCAGCATGCCGCATATGCGAGACGTTACACCATGAGCAGTTTGAGTGTGACGTTCCAACTTCCATTATGAAAGCAGCATGATAGGCCCATGTAAACGATGAAATGAGGAAAATGACAACATGGAAAACCCATGGATATCAATGACGTACAATCATGTGCGCTTCGACATTGCAAATGGAAAGCGTTACAATTGACTAGGATAACTACGCCTTTCTATGACAGTCGAATAAAACAGTGATGTTAGTAGCAGCTGTCTACAAACGGCTTTTCTATAAGCAACAAATACACCCCATAAAATCCCACAAATGGCATAACCTCAACAAAGCTACACCCCACTATCACTTCTCAGCACAGTTCCACAACCGCAGCTCATGATCTCTGGTCTCGCTGAGACCAAACCGTCTCCTCTGTGAGGCCTTTGGCCCGCGGGTCACACGCATCGGGGTCCGACCCGCCACTTTATGGGGAGCTAACACGTCAGCTGGTTACGAGCTGTAAGTGAAAGGCTGCCTCGCTGGCTGGCCTGTCGGTCTGTCGGTCGGGGTCGGTCGACTAGATTAGTCAGCCGGCTCGGTTTCAAATTCGTATGCACGTCCTGCGCCAAATGCGTGCTAATACGCCCCGGCCTCTCGCGATCTCAGTCGTACGTTGTGTAATTTGTCTGACCACAGGCATCGGCTATTCAGACGAGTTGTGGTTATTAATTGGCCCATGAGTATCGAAACGGCCACTCCAGTCCGCCGGGCAGGCGGGTTCGAACCGAATCGAAACCGCGCCCTCTCGTCGACATGACAGATGGAATATTAATATCGGCATAAAATGTAGGTGAAAGCCATCGGGAGTAAATATGGGCGACGTGAAAAAGGTGCTGAGTGTCTAGACCAAGTTGGAATTGGTTAAAGCCAGATTCAGGCATATTTCGAGAAAAATAGGTGTGAGCATTGAGCATTGAGCAGTGAGCAGTGGCCAGTGACTATCGAAGTATGTACCTAGAAACCTATGTGATATGTGCAAGTATTTTTATCATCCAATTTTTATTTGCGTATCATTTATCCAAAACTAGACGCAGCTACCAATAAAGCACCTGACAGTTGTTACCTAATTACGCACATACCTTCGATATGCCAGCATCAATACGCGTATCATACATGTTTGCGCAGACAGATTTCGTTCAGCCAATCGATGTCGGATAGTAGGTTTCCATGGCAACCAATACATACGGACGTCCGTATGGCTTCCAGCAATCGGCCGATCATTGCTGGCGGAGCTATTTGCCTGAAGTACAAGTCCAGCGTGGAAGGAAACCATATCGACGACGACAAACAATCAATCAAAATGTTACAGCAATTATTGATGTTGTATTGACAGAATCTGAAAATCAGTTACACTTCTGCTGAATTAATGGGCGTAGTTAAGTGCACTGCGTGTTGTAGTTCCATTTATTTACGATACATGTAGGAAGAGGGAGGCAATTATCATCAATAGACAAGGCCTATATCAAGAAGTCCTCTGGTCCCCTGGAGATATGTAGATGGTCTCGGCTAATCGTAAACGCGTTGTGGGAGATATTTAAACGTATCCAGACATTTTTAGAATTGAAATTTAATTGTCAATTACAAAAAAAAATGGAGAAGCCAGACCTTGCTAGTTTTAGGAAGTAGGTACAACGTTCGTAAATACAAATGCAATTTATGCATGTTATACCCCTTCCCTCGCTTGAGAAACTTTCTCCAATGCCTCCAGTTTCCACTATGGATAGGAGCTCAACTGGTGAAACGCAGCGTCACACGTCAAACATGCTCCACATTCCTCCACCTAAGTTCACATTGACCCGAGTTCGGAGTGATGACAGGACAGAAGGCTGGCCGCGATCCCCGGCCCCGCAGATCAGTTTGATCAGCGGTACACGCACCTGTCACGACCCTCGAGGCGGAACATGCGGAACAGCGCTGGCCGCTCGCCAGCCAAAACACTTAGGTGTTTGAGGGTGATGGGCGCCTCCCGCACAACAAGTCGTCAGGCTGTCAGCACTTATCAGCACTTTTCGGCACTCTGTGCGGCAGGTGATTTGGCGAAATGGAATGTGGAATGTAGGAAATGAGAGCAGACTGCTATTAGTAGACCTGTACATTTGTATTAATGGCGTTATACAGTTGGATGAAGAAACAATTAGATTGGTGTAGCGACTTGAGCCGGTCGGTAGCCGGTTATGTTTTGTATTCACAGTTACCGCCATGCAATGCAGGCCATTGTGGCCCCACCTCCCACCACAGCACGGCACCTCAGATCATTAGGGTCAAACCACAATACGTTATATAAACGCCATTCTCATGCTGTCAGAAGTGTCAGAGGCACCAGGCATCGTCTGCTAATGACCTCATGAGACGGCCGGCGCAAACAGTCCCGCATTCAACGGCGCGAGGCACCGACCCACCGTGGGAACGTGCCTTGACCTCCCGGGGCGCAAGAGCTATTAATGGAGCCGATATCTGCGTCATCACCGACCAAACAACTCGGAAAACGGACCTCTATCCTGGTTCCTCATGCAGGGGAAGCAAGACTTGCAGAGCGATTCAGACCTACCGACATCGAAACTTTGAGCTCCTTTGGGAGTTCAGCAGTAGTGCGTCTCGCTCGTGCCTCTGCGGGCGGCAGTCCATACCGACTTCTCTCGAGTCTCGAGCCTTTTGACCGGCTCGCGGGTACTTCAACAGGTGGGGAGTCCCGCGGGCATCCTGCATACCAATTCAGCCTCTCCTTCCCCACTCGGAGTTGTTGAGCCGGCCCGATGTCCCGACGCTAATCGATCACAGAGCGAGCAGCCACTGAGTTGATCGCTGCTGAGCTCCAGCTGCCTCCTTATGGAGCTGAAATTCTCTCACTGTCAAGCTTCATCTCTCCCATTACGAGCTAAGGCCGAGCTCAAGCTCATTCGCTGCCGAGCTCAAGTTCTCCCATCGCGAGCTA